TGAGAAAATATGCTGATTCTAGAACATAATATTATTTTGCTATTATTAGTCTGTCAAAGCCAATTTGTTTGGAATTAAAAAAAAAATAGAAAACTAGTATAAAAACAACTTTTATTTCATTTTCCATAATGCCTGAGCTTATTTAAAATAAATAAATAAAGTTTGCACTTTTGGAGTGACAGTATGCAGGAAACCAGGAGCATAAAATATGTTTATTTTAAAGTTTCACATAGTCTCCATCTGATGGAGACATAATACAATTTAAATACCAAGTGTGACTTGTGGTCAGTAGATGGCGCCATATGTTTTTCTAAACAGGTTAGTCGGTCATGCCCACATCAAGTTTCAGGTTCAGGCTTTTTCAGTAATCAGAATATCGTAAATGTGAGAACACGTGCACACAGATGAGCTCTAAATGGAGAGACTGTGAATGTAAACATCAAAACAAAGCTTCACATGGCTCATTCACAAGAGGGCGCCGCATCATGCAGCTCCACATGATTCACTAAAAGCTTTGAAAAATAAAGCAGACAGACTCATGTTTTTATAAGGATAATAAAATGTTTAATTTAAGGGTCCATAAACAAATGCAGATACTTGTCTAATTTCTCTCTCATTATCTACACCTTAGCCTTTTGTTGGTAGCTCGTGCGACTTCTCCATTCAGAGCTTTTCTTGCTGCTGTGTATATACAGACTATGAAGATGCATCAGGCCTCTGCAGCCACAGTGGAAGCCCCGAACGAAAAGTTAAGCCTCAATATATGTGGGGATGATCCGTCCGATTTTGTAGGCAGCTAAGCCCCTTCGAGTGTTTAGTAAAGAACTTATGTCTAAAAATGAGAAGTAGGCCATAAATGAAACTAAGCTGCAATGAAGGAGAAACTCTGGTTTGTGTTTGTGGGGTAATAATTGCAAAATCCTCATTAGGCTGTAACACAATGAGTGATGTAGTAGGGTTTCAATGGCAACACTATTGTCTTTGGAACAACAGGTCAAGGTTCAAATTTTGCATCCAGCAGGGGTCATGAGGCTTGCCCCCCCCAATGCTACCCAAGCATACCTCAGAATATGAGCAACATACATAACTGAATGCCAGATTAAAAGCAAGGTAAAAAGGGTTCAGTAAGTGTAGTTATTTGATATTCTACAGACTGCAGCTGTGAACTACAAGATCTGCTTGTAAGGCCTGCAAATAGACTCATATCCAGATGGAACTACAGCGGGGAGAAGACAGTTGTTAATAAATATAAATGTACTGACATAAAAACATTCATAACTTAGTTTTAAAACACAATTCAGAACAGTTTAGGATTTAGATAACTGAGCTCTCAAAGATGTAGATCAGATCTGTTATACGAGCTCCTGTTTTACAGGTTGGACACAGACAGACTCGACCACACAGCAATTTATACACTGAATGCTTAAGTTCAAAAACAGATAAAAGGTCAAATTAATATCTGTGTAAAATTCTAAATAAAGATCTTGTTTGTTAAACTTGGAAACATGATTAGACTTGCAGATATTTCCCCTCCTCTTAATGACTTCAATGCACAAAATAAAAATATATCCACCCCAGAGGAGAGCTTGTTGATGGCTACCGTAGCGTTCCTTTTCCAGTCTGTAAAGCAGTGGTTAATCAAACATGTCATAACTGTAAGTCTCTGTTTTAATAATTTTCTGTGTTTTAGACATTGTGTGTTGTGTGCCAGTTTTTCAGTGCTTTTTAATGTTTGACATGTAACGTTATAGTGCTAATGTTTTTGTTTCACCATTCCTGTGCTTCGTTTCTTAAACATGTTTAGATGAATCTGTATCTCATTTACAGACAATATCTTTCTTTATTGTCTGTAAATGCCATCAATCTGCAGATGAACATTAGCTTGGATGATTAAAGCTGATATATTTATGAACTTAAGGGCTTGTGCAGATTAATGTGCACTGTCGCTTTAAATAAAGTAAACAAAAACACAACTCAAGTGTCTCAAGTCTGAAAGCTCTCCCTAAAACTGAATCTCCATCATTTTGATTTACGACTGTGGTCAGAAGTTTACATTCACCCATTGTGGGCGTAAAGTCAGTAATTTAGCCTTTTAATAACTTATTTGAACTGGGTTTTTTTCCACGGTGAAATGATTGTACAGCATACATTAGAATCAGAGGATCAGAGGATGTTGTCCTCATTTTGGACAACATCCGCCTCTCTGACACCACCTTAAGGGAGTCCAGCTTCATTCCCACAACATTACTAGCCTTGAGTCTGCTGATATCTGCGACCCTCAGCCTGCTACCCCAGCATGCAACAGCATAGATGATGACACTCAGCCTTACTCTGTTCTTTCCTGCAGGACTGAATAAACAAGCCAGTTAAACTTTCTACCAAACCGCCGTTGGAGAGTTTCAAAGGTTTAACAATTGCACTGTTTTGCATATTCCTGTGAGAGGTAAACAGACGAGGAGAGGAGGCACAAAGGGATGATAAGCCTGCCTTCATACCTGAGGACAACCGTTTTTCTGGCTGTTAAACAGACTGAAACAGTTCTGTCTCTATGTTGTCTTTCACTTTCTTCTTTCTCTGTACTTTGTATATTGTAACTTTCTGCTGCAGCCTTAAAGAGTGTCCAGCAGCAGTTCACAGCTCCACCCTTCAAACAAAACTAGCAGCCTCAGAGGCATATGCTCCAAAAGAGATTACTCGTGTAGGATTAAGCATGATAATCTCATCTCTTGTTCATGATTATCTTTGTTGATTTTGCTTTGGTGTAGCTGGTTTATGAGCTGAACAGTGAACAGAGTGCAGTGAAAACTGTTATAAACACATTGATCAGAGCACTTTCATTTCATAGACTCCCGTCTTTATCTCCCCCAGGAAACCTTCCTCAAGAGAGAGACCATCTCTATTCATTTGGAAACGTCTCACCTCTCTAGTCACGACTACCCTTTTGTTTTTTTGTGAAGTGTCCTACTCAGTTTCACACAACTCCCATTGCATGAATGCCTAATTAAGCTACTGTTGTCTTCCTAGTCATTACTTCTTGCAGGAGTCCAGCCTGTGAGTCTTTCAGTTTCAGGATCTCTGCTCTTTAAACTGCTGAAAGTATCAATGAGTAAATCTCAACGTGAATGTGACACAATAAGAAGCTTAGAGGATTTTCTGTATCTGTGACAGCAGAAGTGAAAGGGATGTTAGAGAAAGTGTAAAAGCTGCTCTAAATGAAAATGTAAATGACACTCAACAAGTGTGTGTGTGTGTGTGTGTGTGTGTGTGTGTGTGTGTGTGTGTGTGTGTGTGTGTGTGTGTGTGTGTGTGTGTGAGTGAGTGAGAGAGAAGAATCAATATTCATATTACACCTTTAGGGCTGTGATCATCATCCTAATATCCTCCTGTTGCTGCCTCGACAGGATTGCACTCGTTTGTATCCTCCTGATTCGTATCTTCTAACAATGAGACCGTTTTGAACCTCTGGTGGGGATTTTGTACCTAATGCAGCAGTGCAAAAATCTTCACAGCTGCATGCATGAGTAGGCCTACCCATTCATTTCAGATATTTCCATTCAATTATACACTCACACTGAAAGTGAAGCATTTACAACACTTTTCTAGTCTTAGAAAACTATTTCCAGTTTATAAGACCAGTTAAGCTAAAATGTGTTATATGAAGCTTATCTGGAGCACCTGGAAAAAAAACAGCAGGAACAAGAAGAACAAAGGCAAACAGCCTGCATCCATCCAGTCTTTGCTAACCCAACACTGACATACAAGACTGACAGAATGTATTTAAAGTTTGTCCTGTAACTTAAAAACATAGAAAACTGTGAAAACCTAAAAACTGCAAAATATAATATGCTCTATATTGATGTATCTTATGTATCTTTTACCTCAATATCTCCACACCTTAAAATGGTGCTAATATGGAAACTTACATACACCTTTGTGGTCCTTGAAAAGGCGCATTGTTGTCTTGAGGTGCATTAAGCCCACATTTGTGTAGACGGTACCTGTAGGGACAGAAACAGACTTCTGCTGAACCCCAGGTTCTGTGTTTCTGTCACAGCTGTCGAGGCGAGCCGTGTGGTGTTGGAGGGAAAAGGACCCAAAGTGCAGGCAGTTGACTCATAATGCAAGTGACGTTTATTTACATGTAATAGGGTGACAGAGCTGACAGTGAGAAATGACTAAAGAAACCTAAACTGGAAAAACTAATTAACAAACCTGAGAACATAAGAAACGGGGTGTGGCGCAGAGAGAGGAACGAAACGCCATGGAACACAGACAAGCACAGACCGACACCCACTCACACACAAGGAAATCAGGTAATCACACACAGGAGGGAAGAACAGCTGATCCCAGTACACAAAGACGATCTGGAGGATACAAGCTGAACACAATGACAACAGACACAGACCTTCAAAATAAAACAGGAAATCCAGAACACGAACAGGGCACAAGGGGAGGACACAGAACACCAAAATCAGAATAACTAGAACAGAAGAAAATAACCATAAAACACAAAACGCTGGGTCAACGACCCAGCACCATGACAGTTTCTGTGAGTGCATGTTAGCAAAGTGAAAAATGAAATAATAGAGGCATGTGCATCAATAACACAATCAGCCCAATGGAAACAGTGCAAATGTGTTCAGCTTTGCAAAGCAAACAGTGGCACATTAGGATGCAAATGAAAAAAGCAGCGAATGGAAAATCAGCAAGTCATGTGATTCTGCACATGTGAGCCCGGCTGTTGACATAGTAAGCATGAGTTAGCATGTGGGTGACATGAGCGTTTGCAGGGAGAAGGATGTTTAAGCGATATCAGCACAGAAACGCTGCTGAACGGGAACCTGAACTGCACAGTGAGCTTCTGTATCCGAACACTGCTCCTCACATCAGCAGTAAAAGGAACTGTTGTTGCTAGGGAAGGCTTGTCAGCCATAATGAGTGAATGGACTGAAGCAGAGAGCTGCACATACAAGGTTACGCAAACACGAGGACAAAACCCAGGCACTCAGAAAGCGTTTATTGTAGTGCAATCAATTTAACAACATCTAAGATCCCCGAGTCTGTCTTTTTGTAAGGAATGAAAAAGCTTCCCTGGCAACTGTTTCTGGACTGATTGCTCTCATGTGACAAGATTACGCAGTCAAACATGGAAACAGAGGGGGGAGTGTGTGTTTGTCAGGGAGAGAGCAGGGCTGATGAGTCAGAGGAGGCTGATTCTGACGCAATCCTCCCTCCTCTTCCTCTGCCTACATTACTGCTTCTTGAAGGCTGATCCTTCTTCCCCTGCAAGAAACAAACATAAAGGCATTAATGTAACTGACCTACTCTTTACCATCGCTGATTCCATATGTTATGTAATTCTGGATATACTTCACAGTATTTCTTCAGGTTATCATTATATGAGCCTGAGCATTAGTCTTATGCATTACATTTGGGAGATTATTTCAAGATATCTCCAACTTTAGACGTACACTCTACTTAAATCTAATGCTATGATATCTAGAGGTACACCGAGTTTAAGTGTACAGGCCTGTGGATTGTTGATTATTTGGTAATTCAGTTCTTTTTAGTTAAAAAAAACATTTCAGATATCCACAGGGACATTATTTCCACATCCACAGTGGTTATACTTACACATCCATGTTATTTGTCCATGAACAAAAATGACTCACGAGTCGTTCATGAGGCTTTCACTTTCACTAAATACAGTTTCACTTTTTCATTCTTGAAAAAAATCCTACGGTTCAAATGGTTTTCTTTTATAATTTTTCAGATAATTTCAGATACAAATTAGATTTTAACAGGTAAAAGTTTCACTTCAGATGTTTAAAATTAAAAGTAAAACTTTTTAAGATAAAGTTGCAAATATGTATAAATGTTTAGCAGTGGACAGAGGATTAAAAAGCTCCACTGACTATTAAACTTATGACATCAACAACAACATGTGTCTCAGTCAAAATTATATTCTTTATAGTGAGAACCAAGAAAGACAAAGTCAGTAACTGTACTATAAATAGAGTATCTGTATTTTCTATGAGATACTTATCAACAAATACTGCAGTACATATACACCACCTATCAAATTTCAGCTTGCACTGGTGAATGCAAGTGTTTACTTTTAAAATGTGATTTACAAAAGTTGCAAGACTGATAAAGAAGAATTATGTAAACAAATTTATGAAATGTGCATCTTTGTTGTCGTTATCAATATTGCCTCTATAAGCTCACCAGTAAAAATATTTGTTTAACAATAAACAGTCAGTCGATACAAAGATATGATCACATACAGGATGTGCAGTTCAGTTTCCATCCACTGTGCAACATTTTCAGGCCGGTTGCACAATAATCACACCCTTATTGTGCAGATTGAGTTTTTATCTAACATCCAACAGATCACCGGCTGTTCCCTGAGTGTGCCTGGGGGAACATGGTTTTGAATAACTGCTGTCTAAATGAATTACCTGCTAACTGAAATCTGGGATCAAAAGATGTTGCTTTTATTATTTTGATAACACAGTTACGTGTCTGATAATCTCATTGGAATCCAGCAGTGAAATGATAACTCCACTTTAACGTGATGCAAAAGTCTCGACTCATCAGGGACTACTTCAGTGAAGCTTATTGTCCATTTTCAAATCTTATTTGAAATACAAATACTAAGGTGCACATAACACTCCACAGGCACATAATACCTGAAAAATAACAAGACTAGAGAAATACCAAAAACATTTTTCAAAATTACATTAAAAAATAGAGACAAAAGCGGAGATGATGGATATGCGTCTAAAGAGACATACATACTAGATAGGACAGGGTAGGGGAAGGAATAGATTGTAGTTTAATGTCAGAACAAGTTAAATTGTTGTTAAAAAACTATTTATATAAAATCCCCAGTTTATCCCCTTTTCCTGCTTTAATCTGTAAAATAACACTCATCACTTCCAGCTGAATCCCACCTCCTTCCAGGGAACACTAAGTGCAGAACACAAGAACGTATTTTATGGGTAAAACTGCTCCTGGATCAGCGTCGCTCTCGCACACTGGGGGCATTGTTGGCAAGGCGTCTACGTGGGATAAGCGCATGCGCCATGTTTCATGGTGCAACGCAGACGCAGATCGACAGCAATCACGATCAGAAGAAAAAAAACAGATGTCAGTATTTTTCTTTGACAAACTCCGACAAATGAGATGTGGATTATTACGGCGATCATAAACGGATTACAGGTGCAAGAGTTCGGCAAACAGCGCAATCAATAAAACTGCAATCGTTTTTTAGTCACGTGGTCACGCCTGGCCAATCAGAATGAGCCAAATCCTACGGAAAGTATGTCCTTTGTTCGGATATTTCGACAACTTTATTCGCCTAATTGTGGCGAATAATCTGCGCGTCTCTCTGGATATGGACACGGTGTTTTTATGAGCTCGGGCTCGGGTTGAACACATTTTATCGCGGTGTTTGCAGAATGCCACGTGTCCAGATTTGATGAACGGGCACGAGTCGTCACATGACTCCCCTCCCCCACCCTGCGCAGGGAATGGGGGAAGAAGGCGGACATGTTTGAGGGAAATGTGTTGGTTAAAAAGTATCGAGGTGGAAGACAAGAAGATAATTTGAAGAAAGGTTTCGCATTATTTTGGGATTTATCATTGGAATTTCTTACTTACTTTACATTCCAGACTTTATTGACTTATACTCAACATTCATTTTATATTTTTTTATATATATTTTTAAAAATGTTTAGTTTAATGTTTGTTTTTACAGCACAATGTTATGAAAACGTTAGAAATATTTGAATCTGTATCGTGTATTTCAGTGACATTGCAGAGAATTTGTAACCTTGGTGTGGGGGATGGGCGCAGTGGTTAGGTAACCTTTTGTGTGTCGTCGTTTCAATGAGTTTAAGTCGTTTTTTTTTTTTTTTTTTAAAAAAGAAGCCGCTTATATAGGTTTATTAAGTACGATTTTTGTACTATTATCTTGATGTTATTTGGTCTTTTATTGTTTGGTTGAACCACAAAGGTGTGGTTTGATGGTTTAATCTTTAAAACAATAGTCCAATCTTTAATTTAATTATTCCCTTGGACTGTATTGGTTAACGTAGTTGTAAATATTTCGGTTGGAGCTTGATTTAATCAGGCTTTGGATGAGGTTGTTAATGAAAACTGCTGTGTCATTCAGGCGTTGGTTTCTGTGACCTTCTTATAGGTGTTCTGTTAGGTTTTTATTGCTGATGAAAGATGTAAATGATGGCTTCAGCACAAACATCGTTTAGTTAAATTATGTGTAAGGCCTGATCTGCGCCCTTTCACAGCGTGTAACTGCGGGTCGTGGAGGCCTCGTTTTACAGGCTTGGCTGGTCTGACTGTTAAAATTGTGGCGCTTTCTTCACCAAGTGTTGGGATCTTACACCGTTTGCGCGTGTAAATCGAATATACGGCGTTTTACAGGTTTTTCTTGACATTGTGTGTTTTGAGTTGAGGGTTATTTGATCATATTACTGTCTCTCAACGTGCTTAAAGATGGCGGCTGTGCTTCGTTTCCCTTAGATAAAAAAATGCGGATGTACTGTTTAGTACAACGCTCGTGGGAAGAAGCCCTTGGCTCTTCGAGGGTACGCGTGACTGGATGCAACAACCAATAGGCTTCATGGTATTTACCCTGAAAGCCCGCGTTACAGCAGCTTTGACCAATACCCGTCGTCGCTCTCAACACGTTGACGTAATGTAATATGATATGGAGCAGGCTGGCTTCCTTGCCCTCGCTTTCTGTGGGGGATAATATGGCGGAGCCAGTTGCATACAGTATATCTTAAAGGCTGTAGAAGGATGGACCAATAGTGTTGTGCAACTTATTTGACGGACAAAAAAATCTTGCGAATAGGCTGACCTGAATTGCAGGTTGGAGAGTTTCAGTATCCAGGGGTGTGGTCATTTTAACTGACGTCGTGAACAGCCAGTAGAAATCCAAGGGGCGGGGACGTTTTGGGGTGGTGTGTCCAATGGGTTTTGCGACGGGTCTATAAAAAGCCGGGTGTAGTCGCATAGTCGCCATTTCAGCGAAGCAGATTTGAAAGAGAGCTTCGTGGCGGGGAACGGAGAGATCTGACGACTGGAGACGGATCCTGGTTTGAGTGTAGCTAAAAACAGAATCCGGATCCATCCCGATGGAAATGGCTGTTAACCCGCCCATTGACAGGTATCTACCGGCATAACCGACTCTCAGCTTTCCATCAGTCGGAATATTGTGAACATTTATGGTTATTTATTTTAAATATAACGGAACGGGCACCCTGTTTGCTGTAATGCCAGTTGAAGAGAGGTGGACGCTGAGTATGCTACAGGAAGGACTTTATCATGTCGTTACAGGCATTAGAAGTGACTTTCATGTGGAAGAAGTAAGGTTGTTTTGGGCTTTTTAACATAACAAACTGCGACTGTTGAGCGCTGTGCCGGCGCCATTTTCGGCTGCCGTTGGCCGCTCTCACACTGTCTAGCAGTTAGCATTACTAGCTCTAGCCTGAGCCCGAAGGGTTGCTCATGAGACGCGTAAGTATCACGTTTGGTGCTGTATGTCTGCGTTTATTGACAGTGACAATTGACAATGCTGACCTGGCATCTTTTAAGAAGGCTTTATCTAATGTATAAATGTGGCATTTGTGTAGCACAAAACCATAGTTAAACTTGATCGTTGTGCAAGTACATACGTAGGGGGGTCGGGCGCACCGCCACGGCAGAGTCACTGCGTGTTTCGCTGGTTTGTTGTTGTAGCCATGTGGCGGTCATGGGGTTGTTGTGATCGCCGGTGTAACGACTCCATTGTAGCATAACGGCTAACGCTCCGTTATCAGTAGCACCACTACCAGTTATTTATGTATTATTAAAGTAGTATTGTCACACATACAGAGAGCCTGTCAATGTCTCTGGTAAATGTTATTTTTAATGTAGGGTTATTAGTATATATGTTGGGTGTTTCCCTTGGTTGCCTGGTTACAGCGCACACTAGCCCCAGTAGTTAGCAGCTGCTATCATTTTGAACTAATCCGATAATGCCAAAAAACTGTCTCTAAATATGATAAATTTTTAATACTTTAATGGAGAATCTATTTTTTGTCTCTTAATTTGTTAAATATTTTTTGGGCCAACATGTTTTTTGTGTAGTGCTGTTATATTTTGTACATGATTATTTCCCTTTTTAATAATAAAGTACACTAACTGTCAAATGTGTTTCCAACAGTTGTATCATTTAAAATGACTGGTTTACAATAGCTTTGCACTCCTTTTGTTGTGTCATGTTGCTAATTCTTCTTACATTTTGTGTGTAGGGTGGATCAGTGCAAACATACCTTTAGGCTATGCATAGGAGACTTAAGCTACTAACCCCATGGTTATATTACTTGCACTGTTTGCTTAAATGTGGAACTTAAAAAAACCAATTTTCTGTTTTGACTTAATGGTAATGGTGCAGCATCCAATAATACAACACCAGCTGTTTCAGGCTTTTGGTAGAAACCAGTTTTCAGGCGGGTGACCTTAAATACCCCCTCTGGCCTTGGTTAGTCTTGTAAGTCTTGTGGTTCAGATGGTGGGCCAGTGAAGGTGGATCATGGTGAGTCAATACTTTGCAGCACTGAAAGAGGACAACTGAATAAACAGAATTGCTGGTTTTTACATTTTTCTTTTTAAATTAAAAATACTAGCATTAGTGTCACTGTAGATTTGATGCTAATGCCACCAACAGTCCCCATCCAAGTAACCAGACTCTGAAAATACTGCACAGTTAATGACATAAACTACAACTACTGTTACCTTATATCCAGTACCCGTAACTATGCTGTTTGGCTCTAGAGTGTATAAGGATATGCTTTCTTTACGCCTTAGTGTTATTAAAGGTACACATGGAGGCACAATGGTAAGTCAGGTCAACACCAGAGTTCAACAGAGATGGTCTTCCTTCGCTGGTGCAAAGTGTCGTGTTACGTATTGGTAATGTGACTTTTGTATAGAACTGTTTTCTCCTGTCATCTAAACATAACTCTGAAGTCACCAGGCGCTCATAGGTACAGTCATGGTTGCAGAGAACGAGTTTAGATAGTCGGTGTCTCGCACCTGTCAAACACAGAACAAGAAGTAGGAGTGGCTTAGTGTTAATACTGTGACAAGTTAATGTGTACCCTAAGCTCTGTTTATATATAATCACAATCCTGTGTTAATGACTAATGGGTGGCTTGTGGTAGACAAGGTTAGGAATTAGAATTTGTGTGTAAATTTTCTACACTATTCCAGTCATTACAGTAACATGGCAGCTTAAACTCCTCCCACAATCTAAGTTGTTGTTGTTGTTGTTGTTTTTTTAAAAGCATGGAAATGGGTGTTGGGTTTAAGTCTGAGTGAGACGTGTAGAAGAGGAAGTGCTTGTACCAGTTCACCCAGTGTGAGCGCTCAGGGTCAGGCAGATGGGTGCTTGCTAACAAACGTGTAGTATCCTTTTTGACTTTGTATCAAATTTGACATGATAACAGGAAGCATACGTCAACAAGGGAACACTTATTTATTATGAAAGTTGATTAGCTTACATGGTAATCCCAGGATGTACAGCACAGAATATTCATTGTAACCTTTCTATAATGAGAAGAAAAACTTAATAGAATTTCATCATCACAGCTCAAACCAAAATACTCAGTTCCTTTGTAACTGTGCTCTCTGCAGCTCCCATGTTGGGCCTGATGCCAGTATGTTGGGAATAATGATGGATCAGAACTGTGGCACAGCTGGAAAACGCATCCGAAAACCTTCACTGCTCTACGAGGGCTTTGAGAGTCCTGGAATGCCCCCCCACAGCCAGATGACCCCTTCCGGGCCCCCGCAGCCCCCGGTGAAGGACCCCAACCGCCAGGGGAGGATGACCAACCAACTGCAGTTCCTGCAGAAAGTCCTGCTCAAATCTTTGTGGAGGCACCACTTTGCCTGGCCCTTTCACGAACCCGTGGATGCTGTCAAGCTCAGCCTGCCGGTGAGTGTATAGTTTCAGGTTTCAGTTCCT